GAAATATTGTTCAATTTTCTCAGGGTGTTTGAATTTTTACTGGCAGTGTGCAAGATTGAACAGGAATACAACATTAATAATTTAGCATACCTTCAAATTATTTTTCTAATGAAAGATGGAGTGATATGACTGGTGAAATGTAATTTCCTTTCAAATTTTTGACAAGCAAATTTGTTGCTATTGTGGATCTGTCACTTTCTATCCTGATGTTTTGCACAGATACCCTCAGGTTTAAAAGGACCAGTCAGTAGCAGCAAACATAAATTTGTGAGTAATTTTAAGACACACCAACACAGAAAGAGATGTTTACATTCAGTTGTATTTATTTTGTGATTAGATACAAAATTGTTCAGCTCATTTAGAATAGATCACAGTTTTCACAGGTAGGATTGCAAGACCTGGACACGTTTCATATTTCACATTATTGTGATGACAACAGTTGCAGGAAAATTAGCAACCAATATTTAATAATTGCAACGTATGCCATTATCTAACATTTGCATGTGTCATGTAAGTAATTTTACAAACCCCTACAGATGACAGAGAGCTTCTTACTCCACTTCATATCAATCCAATCAAATGAATCAATTCGAGAAGGCAGTTCACCACCACCACCTTCTCCAGGGGTGAACAATATTTACTGGCCTAGCCAATGACACCCACATCCCGTGAAAGAAGGGAAAATAATGTGAATTAAACAAGATTTGTTTGAGAAATTAACAATTTGGGATAGAGTAGATGAAGATTTTGAGACGCGACATGTGACGAGTGAAAAATGTTTGGGGGGACAAAGTGAGTTTGAACCGACTGTCCTCCTGGCAATTTGGGGTCTGTTCTCGTTTATTTACACAGAGTGATCATTAGGTTTAGTCAATAACACCATCACTACTGTCAAGTGTGACTGCCAGGATGATGGAATGGGCTTTAAATGAACCTTGATTCATCCCAAAATTCTTTTCTCATCAGTTGCACTACGCCCCTCAGAATGGGTCTCAGAGGTTTGGATGTGCTCCCCATGATTTTCCGATCAAATACAGAGCAATTTATAAAGGTAAATGCATTCCCCCATCCCATGGACATTGTCTAGTCCAGAAGGATGCCATGCGGCCTTCCAAGGAACATTGTAAAAAGGTCCAAGGAGATGTGGAATGAGTCTTCAGATAGATCCATTCCTATTACTACAGTGGAGTATGGAGTCAAATGCCTCATGGGAAAGAGACTGTTAGGCCTTCATATCAATAATGCAAGCAATGGAGAATTGGGCCTCGTTTTGTTGTGAGTTTGCTGCTAAGATTTCCTCACTCTACACAGCTCATGCTTTGAGGTAGAAACTTGCCTTGGACAGTAACACAAAATGGATGGCATGAAGAATGATCAGAAAATATTGGGGGAGTTCACCACATGCCACAATGTGTGCTACAGAACATATACACCACAAATTCTGTTAGCCTGGCAAAAGCCAAAGCGTTTACAATTTTGTTGTGAGCCTCGCCACCATGTCGCAAAGTGCATGACAATAGCTGCAGCAATATCAGGATATACAATCTATAAGGGTCCTGTGAATTAATGATTCTAATACAAAAATTCAATCTTGGAGCTCTAGAACAGGAACTGTTGGAATTGTGGAGTTTTATTCCTGAAGGTAACAAATCATCCCGAGAACTTGTTTTATGTTAATTGGTGTTATGAAACCTTACTGTTCCTTACAGTCTCTTTTCTGTCTCTCAATCCATTCTTCCTCTCTCAATCTTTATTTGTTTCTGTTTAACTAATTTGAATTTAACATACGTGTTCTGTTTCTTCCTTTATACTTACATTTATTTGCTATGTAAACAGCCTATTAAACTGACAGTCACCAGGTCTCAATTTCCCCATGCTCTATTTCTCTATTCTGCTATGAATTCATGTGTCCAGCAATTAGAGGCACAGAAATAACAAGATGTAAAGCGTGAGACAACAATACCTAATTCCCCTCAAGTAAATTCAAGTCTTTATTTACTCCAAACGAGAGCTGCTTAGCTGAAGCTGCAGTCTGAAACAGCTTTCACACTGAGCTGGACAAACCAAAATGTCTATGAAGTTAAATGTGATGCACTGTTTTACTGCCAGGAGTTGAACTATAGCTTCTCTTCTAAGTGATATGCCAGTGGCGCTCAATGACTGCGTTCATGCTGGTTCAATGGGGTTGACTAAGTTTGCACCCAAACCCAGAAGGAGCATGAGCATGGGGACAAAATGAAACTTGTCTTTAGTTTCATCATCCAACTCACATTCTCAGATTGGTTTGTGGTGTGCTCAACATGTGAACTGGAGGTTTTACGAGAGGCTGAGAAAGAACATAAAAGAAAGAAACAAACAAAACTAAAGAAAGAAATAAAAACAAAAAGTTCTGTGTATATTCAGCAGGTCTTGCATCATCTGTGGAGACAGAAATAGAGTTAACGTTTCGAGTCCAATATGACTCTTGTTCAGAACTATGGGAGGTAGGAATGTGATGGATTTTGCTGCTGAAAAGGGGCAAGTGGACAAAAATGAAAGGGAAGGTCAGGCAGGTACAAGGTGTGAGAGACTATATGATAAAGATGTCATGAGACAACAATGGGTGATTTGAAGACTAGGAGACATATTTTTAAGGTGAGAGGAAGATTTTAAAAAAGACATAATGGGGAATTTCTTTTACACAGAGAATGGTTTGTGTGTGGAATGATCTTCCAGAGGAAGTGGTGGATGCAGATACAGTTACAATGTTTAAAAGACATTCAGATAAGTTTATGAATAAGAAATGTTTGCAGAGATATGGGCCAAATGCAGGCAGGTGGGACTAGTTTAGTTTGGGATGTTGGTTGGCACGGCCTGGTTGGACCGAAGGGTATGTTTGTGCACCATATGACTGTATGACTCTAAATGGAGTGGTGATAGTTGTAAAGAAATAAAACATTGGTACAGAGTAAGCATTAATGGCTTGATAAATGAGAGTTCTGTGTGACAGCAAAAACATACACAACACGATTCAGATTGGCACATGGCAGTGAAAACAGAACCAAAATGGGGGGCAGAATCCATGGTCTAAGGTTGTTGAACTCAAAGTTGAAACCAAAAGTCTACAACATTCCCCATCGGAAGACGACTGCTTGGCCTTCAGTTTGAGTTGAGCTTCACCGGGACACAGGAGCAGGTTGAGAACAGATTTGAGCAAGGTGGTGAAAATTAAAGTGACTCAAAACCAAAAACTTCAGATCCTGCTTGTTTCTCGCAAAGTGGTTTCTCAATTTGCATTTGGTCAGGAGACCAGACTGTGAGCAGTGAATACAGCTGACTAGATTGAAAGAGGTCCGCGTAACTTGCTGCTTCACATGGAGGGATTGTTTGGGGCCCCGAATGGTGAGGACAGAGGTGCTACACTTTGAGAAGAGGCAATGGCCTAGTGGTATTATCACTGGGCTGTCAATCCAGAGACCCAGATATTGTTCTGGGGATCCGGGTTCAAATCCCACCAAGGCTGATGGTGGAGTTTTAATGCATTAAAAATCTTGAAGTGAAAGTCTAATGATGATCATGAATCCATTATTGATTGTTGGAAAAACCCAACTGGTTCTCTAATATCCTTTAAGGAAGGAAACTGGCATCCTTACCTGGTCTGGACAACATGTGACTTCAGACCCACAGCAATGTGGTTGACTCCTAATTGCCCAGAGGGCAGTTCAGGATGGGCAATAAATGCTGGCCTAGCTAGCAACACCCTCATCCTGTGAATGAATTAAACAAAACTCCTATGATTGGATGGAAAGGTGCTATGTGGTCCCTTTAGGAATCTGATGAGGGAGGAAAGGGAAGATGTGCTTGATGGAGGTTGGATGCTTGAGGTGGCAGAGATGGCAGAAGACAATTGTTTGAAAGTAGTGGTTGGAAGGGCAGAAAGTGAGGACAGGGGAACCTTACTGTGGTTCTGGGAGGGAGAGGAAGTGGTGAGCACAGGGATAGAAGGGGTGGAAGTTGGTCAGTCCTATTAAGAGCCTTGTCAACTTGCACAATTCCTAGATTGAGGAAGAAGGCTGATACGCTGGAAGCACTATGATGATAGGATCCATAATTTGAAAAGTTAGAATGGAATCAGAGAAACAGGGAACGTGGAACTGAGTCCTTACATGAAGCAGAATATGAGGAAATGTACTTGAGGTAGTTGTGGGAGTCAGTAGGCTTACAATGAATATCAGCAGACGGCCTATCCTGGGAAATAGAGAAGTAAAGGAAGAGATGGGAAGTTTCAGAGATGGACCTGGTAAAACTGAGAAAAAGGTGGAATATGAAATCAAAGTTTAAGAAGATTTCCAGTCCTGGCTGAAAGCAGGACATGATTCTGGCATCAATGTGCCAGAAAAAGAGTTGGGGGAGGTGGCTTGAATAGAGCTAGAACAAGGAATGTTCTACATGCCCACAAGACCCATGCAGGGTCCCATAGCAATTCCTTTAATTTGGAAGAAGTGGGGCAAGTTTAAGGAGAACAAGTTCTGCCAGAATGAGGAGGCTGGTTTAATTCCTAAAATTCCAGAAACAATCTGAAGTGTCCTATTCTAAATTCCAATCGTCAAAAAAACATAACTGATCCTCAAATGCTGCTACCTGTATAGTTATTTAACAATGGTTATTTTTCCAATAAATTGTTTTGCTTTTTGCAACGAGTTTGTTTTAAAATGGAACTAACATTTTGACAGTTAGCTCGCTGGATTATTAATTAAGACACTTCTTCTTGTACACTGGAGTTATGAGTCTGTTCATTTTAAATGACGGCTTTAGAACAGTGCACAGAGGAAGATCGTGCTAGGATTTTAACTAGTTGTGCCCCAGCAAAGACTAAAATGCCTGGTGTCTGATCCTGTAAACCCACTTATACAACACATATAAGGTTCAGAACAATAAGATGAACGTCAGCCCCAAATGCACGTATTGATTTGAGACTTCAGATATTTATTTGGATACTTGATACAAGAATTATAAAACAATTAAGATTTCATAGTGCAAATTGGCACTACAATAACCAAAACCACAGTGCACACTGCTGCTGCAATTAAGGCAGCCATCTTACAGATCTTTGCTCTCCTGAATTCAGCCTCCTTTCGTTTCAGTAAAGAGTCATATCCCGGAGTGTAAATATCCTCCATCCAGTATTCTAAGTTATTTGGATTTAACGATTCTTGATTCTGAAATGAGACAGAAAGGCATCTTAATATCAGCTGCATCTGATTGCACAAAGCAAGAGATAAAGACACTCAGGACTGTGACTCAACGCTATTCTAAAAAAAAATTGATGGTCATTTGTTTCCTTTTTTTAACTATTATTTCCCTCTGGCCTTGGTTGCTGACAGAGGCGTGTTACCACTGCTTACACAGGAGATTGTTCTTTACATACCCTTTTGGGAGAAAATCTGTCATTGACATGGTTTGGTCTATAGGTGACTCCAGGTCTGACTCCTGAAGTAACATTGCAAGCCATTCAGTTCAGGGGCAATTAGTGACGAGCAATAAATACTGGTCTTGCTAGGGGCACACGCATCCCATGAAAGAATAAAGAAAGAAGAACTAACAAAAATAAAGCTTTAATGATTTATAGCAAATGGGTCTAAATCAGAGGTCATGGGTTAAAAATAATGGTGAAACAATAATGGAGAAATCAAGAGAAATGAGGATCATCAAGATCTGGAAGGTATCCCCATCATCTGTGGAAGCAGATTCTACTGATGTGTTTACTGATGTGACATTTATTTGAAGAGGAATAATTTACAGGGTTACAGTGAAAAAGCTGAAAAGCTGAGATTAAATTGAACGGGTCCTTCGAAGAACCTCAAAGAGCATGACAGGCAAAATAGCCTCCTTCTGCGCTGTGAGATTGATTGATTCTAATCTATCAATTCTGCAAGGATTGTGTTTCATTGTGTCATTCTTAGGAAGAACCACTGGTCGAACAAATTGCAATGCCAAGGCATATAAGGCTATTGGCCAAGTGCTGGTAAATGGAATTAGAATAGTTAGAATAGCTAAGTGGTTGTTTTCAACTGGTGTAGACATGATGGGCTGAAAGGCCTTTTTCTGTGCTGTAGATATCAATGACTCTAAATTGAAAGTTGAACTGTTCTTAATAGACTTACCATGGAAGTGATGAGGTGCAGTGCAAGGACAGTTTGAGTACTGTATGAGACAGTGTTCAGTGAAAGAAAGAGATGATGGGAAAATGAGACAGATGGTAGGATTTTGAACAGATCCTTCAAGTTCCCTCACCTGTTTCCTTCTGAAGAGAATGAGTTGGAAACAACAATAGTTGAATCAGAGGATGTCACAGCTGATTACATGACTACATTCTGCCAAAGATGTGGAAATTGTCCATGAAGAATGAGTTGACAGTGAACCTGACTGGAAGGTGAAGGTCAGGTGGAAGAGAGGAGGATCCACCTTGGTCTTTATAGTTGTGGAAGTAGAAGGGGCTTTGCAGTTTACATTATCAAAGTTTACATGTAAAAAATGGTTACTTGTGTAACTCCAGCAATTCTAACTGATCATTCCTTCCCCTGAGTGAATACAAAAGAAAGCAAAGACATTCTGATAGGTAGGCCAAGTGATGAGATATAATTAACGCAGATAAAATCCAGTTGGATTCTGTCAAATACATTCGCAAAAAGACTTACTCCGGGTCTTGGTGTTATAAACCCTCCAAATTCCCAGTTCAATCCTTCCCCTCACCCTCCAATCCATTCAAACACATACTTGTGGGAAAGTGTATGAATCATATTACAACATACTGAGCTTAAAGCAGTGTGTGTATTCGGTAATTTTGATGTATGGTGCATTTTACCAGGTCAATACAGGAATAGGAAGAGGCCATTCAACTGCTTGAGCATATTCTTTCATTCAATGAGATCACAAATAATCTGTACCTCAACTCTATTGGTCCACCTTAGCTCCATCTTCAACCATCCCCTGACACAATAAAAACTATCAATCTCAATCTTAAAAATGGAAGTAGTTCCAACCTTCACTGCTCTATATTAAACTGGAGTCTCTGGTTATGGGCTTTGCAGATCGTTGTGGTGACATGCCCATGACCATGTTCCTCCCTTGCCAGCTATCCAGATAATTTCTCTCCTTCTAATGGTATATCCTCAGTAAACAAGAGGGGAAAAACTGACATTATCCATCTCTCCTTAAATGATTACTATTGCTATTAACTGAATCACCAGGTTATGTTAAATTTATGTATTTACAACCAGTATCGAAGGAACTGCTGAGATAAAAATGTTTGCTGATATCAATAAACAGCATGATCAGGTGATGAGCATAATGCAGATTGCAAGGAGTCAAAGAGAATTACAGCAATTAGGATTGACAAGGAATGGCAAATGGAATTAAATGGGAATAAGTGTATGATTTTGTACATTGAAAACAACCATGAAATGTGATCATGTTGAAGGGGCAATAATGCAACAATGTATCAGCTCAATGATATCATACTAAGTCAGAATATTATATTTTCAAAACCTGTTGAGAGACCTGAGCCCATAATCCAACAGTGCAGTACTGGGGACTGATGGACTGTTAGAGATGTCCCTCAGAGAACTGAAACCAAGGGTCCATTTTCCCCTGGAGGAATGTAAAATTTTCTGTAGTATTATTTGAAGAAGAGCAAGGGAGTCTTCCTTAATGCTATTGTTGATATTTAATCTCTCAGCCAAGATCACCACAAACAAATGATCAGGTCAGTATTTTCTTGCTGTTTGTGAGAACTTGCTGTGCATAAATTTGTTGACATTACAATAGTGACTTTCCTTCCAAGGTATTCATTGGCCATGATGCACTTTGGGACTCTTGAAGTCATGATGAAATGGAGGTAATTTTCTTTACAATGACTTTATCATAAAATACATTATGGGCATTTTACAGAGGAGTGAAGAGGTAGTCGCTGAGAGGCTAGGAGAGGTGGCTGTAAGCCCACTTGAAGATATGGGTTTTGAAGGAGATTTTAAAGGAAGATAGGGCAGCTGAGAGATGGAAGGGTAACAGAGGGACTTCCAGAGTGTCAAGTCAGAAAGGCAAAATACCAAGAGAGGAATCAGAGAAAGGAATAACCGGTAGATCCCAAAGTGAGAGTCCAGAAGAAAGGAAATGTAAGGCAGAGTACATTTCAGGGTTTAGATGAGGCAAGACTCTATGGGATTTGTAGATGAGGATAAAGATTTTAAACTTAATTTGGCTTAATAAGGAATAAGCAGCCAGAATGTATCAATGAAGAAAGAGTTAATGGGTGAATGAGGTTTAATGTGACATTGAAAGTAGACAGCAGAATTTTGGATAAGGTTTATTAGAGTTTGGAAGAGAATGTGGGAAAAAAACTATAACAACAAATAAATAAGGTTTGCTTTTTTAAGCAACTAATCAGTGGAAAATATTCAGGGAAACTTTTTTTTATTCATTCACAAGATGAGTGCGTTGCTGGCTAGGTTAGCATTTATTGCCCAACTCTAGGTGTTCAGAAAGCAGATGAGAGTCAACCACATTGCTATGGGTCTGGAGTCACATGTAAGCCAGATGAGGTAAGGAAGCCAGTTTCCTTCCCTAAAGGACATGAGTGAACTGTTGCTAATCATATATGAACAAATCCTGAAATTCCTGACAGGAATACAAAGAAAGCCCTGGATCTGGTACGGTGTAATCAGGCAGGTTTAATAAATGACCTCAGAGTACAAGATCCCTCAGGAGTTGGAGATCATAATATGAAAGAATTTAATATTCAGTCTGAGTGTGAGAAACTTGGGTCGGAAACAAATATGTGTAACTTAAATAAAGGAAATTACAATGAAATGAGGATACAGTTAGCTAAAGTGCATTGTCTACATACATGAGCAGGAAAGGCAGAAAACAAGCAGTGGCAGACATTTTAGGAGGTAATTCAAGATGAACAGCAAAAATACATCCCTGTGAGGAGGAAACATTCTAAGAAAGGGATAAACCAACCATAGCTAACCAAGGAAGTTGAGGAGAGTATAAAGTTAAAAGAAAAAGCCTGAAAAAGTTGTTGCAATGCACTTGGGGAGGTTAACAACACAAGAGATTACACTATGAATGACAGGACCCTGAAAATTACTGAAGATTACAGAGAGCTGGGTGTACATATCCACAGATCCCTGAATGTAACAGGGCAAGTAGTTAAGGTGGCTAAGAAAGCAAATGAGATACTTGCCTTTAATAGCCAAGGCATAGAATACCAAAGCAAGGAGGTTACAATCCAGAACATTACTGCAGGAGTTCCTCAAGATAGTGTCCTAGGCCCAACCATTTTCAGCTTCTTCATCAATGACATTCCCTCCATCATAAGGTCAGAAGTGAGGATGTTCACTGATGATTGCACAATGTTCAGCACCATTTGTGACTCTGCAGAAACTGAATCGATCCATGTTCAAATGCAACAAAATCTGGGGAATATCTAGGCTTGGGCTGATAACTAGCAAGTAACATTCACACCACACACATGCCAGGTTATGACCATCTCCAATAAGAGATGATCTAACCACCACCCCTTTATATACAATGGTATTGCCATCATTGAATCTCTCACTATCAACATAATTGGGGTTACCATTGACTCACCACATAAACACAGTGGCTACAAGAGCAGGTCAGAGGCTATGAATGCTGCGGCAAGTAACTCACCTCCTGACTCCTCAAAGCCTGTCCACCATCTACAAGGCACAAGTCAGGAGTGTGATGGAATACTCCCCACTTGCCTGGATGAGTGCAGCTCGAACAACACTCAAGAAGCTTGACACCACCCAGACCAAAGCAGGCACTTGATTGGCACCACATTCACAAGCATTCACTCCCTACACCACTGATGCTCATTCACAGCACTGTGTACTATCTACGAGATGAACTGCAGAAATTCACCAAAGATGCTTAGACAGCTCTTTCCAAACCCATGACCACTACCATCTAGAAGCACAACAGCAGCAGATACATAAGAACACCATCTCCTGCAAGTTCCCCTCCAAGCTATTCACCATTCTGACTTGGAAACATATCACCATTCCTTCAGTATCGCTGTGTCAAAATCCTGGAATTCCCTCCCTAATAGCATTTTAGGTCAACCTACAGAATGTGGACTGCAGCAGGTCAAGAAAGCAGCTCACCACCACATTCTCAAGGGCAACTAGGG